TTCGGCCTTCATCGTAGCTGCCGACCTCGCACTCTCCGGACTCCCTCCTCGTTAGTTGTTGTGTCTTCTTCGTTGAGTCATTATTTGTGATCATTTGATTTACACTGTAGCTTTGTGTTGTCTTTCTTTCTGTTGAGTCTTCATTGTAACTTTATTTCAAGTCAGTGATAAAATTTTATTTTGCGTCGTGGTTTGGTTTAACTCCTGTATCAGAAATCTTGATGGAGCACTGAAAACGAGGCATTACACTATCTTATTAGGAAAGTAACAACATCAATGAAATATCTTCAATGAAACAAACTCAACAACCCTCTTGTGGAATAGATTGTTTCATCCAGTATTATACTTGTAAGCTCGTCCTCTAATAGAATATCTTGATATTCAACCAAGAAAAACTTTATAGTGACCATCAATTTTAGTTATAGTTTGCAAGAATGAAAATAATAAAGAATAACTAAGAGAAGTATTATTTACATTTCAAGAGACTGAAACTCAACATGAATTTTATTTTGAAGTGCACAAATCCACATTAATTGTTTTGGTTAAAGGGAACTTTAGTAGCTTCCAGCATATGTTAACCTCTAATAAAGCTTGACTTTTAATCCACAACGATTATTGGAACAATGAGGATATCCTTGGCCATTTTTAGGATATGGAACATCATAAAACTTAATTTATGGCAATTTCACATCATGCTCACTCTGGTAAACACCTAGTTCAGGCTTCTAGGTTGCATAATCAAATTCATGAAAATTTTCAAAATCACATAAAACTGAATTTGTAGAATCACTAACAGGTCTACAATAAATAATAACTTGCTTCGAGGAGGTGCATTCAACTCTCTAAGAACTGCAAGTGGAATGAGTTATTGAAGCAATAACTGAGCAATAGTCTTAAAGTTCAAACAAGTACTCTTACATAGTTAGACTCTTGAATTCAGATGAGGAAAATATCGCTTTATAAGCAAATTAGATAGATTAAATGATATGGACGCCCAACAAGTGGAGATAACAGCCCTGCAATTATTATAAAATATGTAATATATGACTTAACTTATGAGAATTTTATGTAACCGATACTTAAATAGATTGTATATACATCTTCAGTCTTCCAACTTATGAAACTTCTCCATTAAAAAAAAAAAAAGGGTTTCTTTTCAAGCTGAATCAAAGGTTGTTGTGCCCACTAAAATCTAAAGTTGTGCCAGACTTCTGAAGATGACTTGCAACAACGCTTACCTCACCACACCTCAACTATTTTTCCGTTATTGTCTTTAAAGTTTTCAATTTCAAATTGTTTCTATGCTATACTTGTCTTTTTTTTTTCCTGACATCTAAATCTACCTGAGGAGCATCCCTAATATCTACAGTCAATTACTTGATCAAGAACTGGAAAACTCCTTAGCCTAGACTGGAACTGCTATTACTAAATAAATAATAGTCCTTTTGCTTTGATTAATCTTCATTGCCGGAGGCAGTTACATTTTGTAAGGTTTCACGCAGAGTAATCTTATTACCTGTGGAAGAAGTTGTCCTTTGAGATGGACATTATAGGATAAATATTTGGTGACAACTAATTATAATGCTGATAGTTATTTGCTTATTATCAATTTAACTAGTTAAATGATTTTGTAAGCATGAAAATACTCAACGACCAACATCATAAAAAAGTTTAAAATATCATTATAAGGAAATATTGGAAAATGGTAGATAGTATTTGAATTCTTCAAAGATTTCCTTTGACAATATAATTGAGGCATCTTTATTTTCTTGATTACTTCGATAATGCTTGACAAGCACTGTTATATTTGAATATATATTTGTTATTACTTGTGAATATCGATGTAAAATGTATAAATTTATTTGGCCTATTAATACTGAAATCTTATCTTGTGGTGACTTCTCCAATATCCTTACTTCCATATTAGAATGCAAAACTGATTTATAAATTTTTTTTTTATGTTTCCAAACAGTTCAAATGCATTTCTGCCAACGTTTCTGCTCATTTTTCTGGTGTTTTTTTTTTTTTTTTTTGCGTGAATCGTATGTTAATTAAAATTCACTTGCATTAGTTTGACATGCTTATTTTAGATAGTTTGGAGTTCTTATCTGTTGTCATCCATCATTTGCCTATTTCCTCCCTCAGCTACTTATCGAGATACTTGCCCTTTAGCTGTTGGGTTGTCGTTTATGCACAACTTTTTTGTTTGTCCTTTACCTTGAAGAGCATGTCATGGATTAAATTTTGTCTACTTGTTGTAAGGGCTATAACTATGGAGTCTTACTACCATTGAGCAGTTAAATTTTGAAAGGTTAGTATATACTGTTTTAGCAATGCTATTTTAATCATGTGATGGTCAGAATTTGCGAATTGAAGAGGACATTATTCTTTGAAGTATTGTTTTTTCATTAATCTTCAATTTTGTGTGGGTTTTGCATTACGTTGAACTTTCCATTGCCTTTTGTCATGAAAATCATGTTATTCTTTGATATTTGATATCCTTCAACTGTCTAGTATACTTTTATTTCTTATTGTTAGAGTTTATGCTGATTGATCTCATTAACATGTACTGTTTTCTCTCACACGTCAATTGCTTCCTGTGTTTCGTTAAGCCATTGTTTGAACCTGGAACTGCTTTAAGTTTAATATTTGTGGATAAAATTATTGTATCATTTGCTGCTGATCTTATGTTAAATAGCTTAATGTTCTTGTATTCCCCGATCTACTGAATGATAGTATATGTTTCATAAATTGTCTGGTGACTATTACCATTGGTTTTATAATTATATAGTTTGCTCTCCATTCATATTCGCAGAGGAAACTAAAGATATCTCAAAAGCGACATTGCCTATTTCCTCCCAGAGTTCTTCATCAACTTCAGATGTTAATGTTGAGAGTGTGATTAATGGCCAGTCCACACAGGATGTAGGCCACCACCCTCAGGCCTCAATTCAAAGCAAACCAAAATTCAGGTACTTAAATGTCATGTAATACTGGGAGTACTAAATCTCTTTTTGAGGGGCATTTATATACATACCACACAATTCTTATGTTTTTACATATCTAACACAGCTTTTTTTTAATCTAACGCTTAAACTTTAATATTTACATTCATAGAACTCAAATCTTGAACATCACATCAAATATATCTTTACTAATTTTTAAAAAGTCAAATGCAACTTTTTATGCATAGGTTTATAGCACCAAACTATGATAAATTTAAGTAAATCTTGAAGGTGTTAGATAGTTAAAACAATAAGAATTATGTGGTGCATGTCTAATTTTCCCTTTTCTTATTAGCTATATTAGTTCTGTATTTTTTTTTTCATTTCTTGCTATAGATATAATTCTTTGTATGCGTCTAATTTCTGTAAAAATCCGGAAAGGATATATATAGTGCTATTATGTTATCCTGACGTTTTTTTGTACCACACTACTACCGCTGCTTAGAATATTCATTTCAATGAATGATCTAGGATGTTGATTTCCAATTTCTTGTTCACTCCACATATCTACTGGAAATAAGTAATGTGCTTCAATGAAATCTCTCTTAAAATTCCTGACGAAGTTCTCCAACATGGTGGAAATGTGGTTAAGCTTAGTTTTCTTTTGTTTTTTTAAAGTGATATAATTTTCTAAATAGGTAATTATAAAGATAGAAAGTTGGAAAGGAGATGGACTATCTAGATATTTCCTCTGCATAGTTTCAAGAAACTTTATATTAGTAAATATTTTTATTTTTCTTTGTCTAGGATGAATTGTTAGTATTTTGAGAAGGCAAACTGTGAGTTTGGCTTTGCCCATAATGAATAGTGGAGTGTAACCTAATGCAGAATTGAAGATTATAAAAACCATGAATATAGATATAATGCATGTTATCTGGAAAAGTTCATGGCGGCACACACAATGCAAAAGCTCATGCTTTTGAGATAGTATTTTTTCCCTCAAAGTTTCTTGTGTTGAAGTCTGTGAATTGAAGGGAAAGGATGAGGTTGATGGAACAGAAAAGATCAGGCCCATTAGGAAGAATGAAATGTGATTTAATTCAGACTAAAGATTACAAGGGTAGCATAAAAAGTTTGCTTGTAGCAATTAGGAGTTGTTACCGAAGGAACATGTTCTGACCTGCACATGCAATGCTATGCTTTTTGAGATTGTAATATTTTTCATGGTTTTTTTTCTCTACGTTTTGCTGCTGCTTTAATATTAGTGATGTAACCAATGATTAGAAAGACATTTTTGTATTCGTTCTCCTGCCTCTTTCAGGAGCTGTTGTTGCAATTAATGATTTTTTTTTCCTGTTGTAAAATATGATGCAGTAGCCAACCCCAAATAGTTGGGATGGGGCTAATGATGATAATTATTTTTATCGCTATGGCGTAATTTTTAACTGTTAATTTTTTTTTATATAAAGTACAGGCATGATTATTACAATACCTTGACGGAATTAGTTTTGACTATTTTTGCAAAGGGCATCCCACCACAAAATGTGCATATTGAATTTGGAGAACAAATTGTATGTCTATTTACAGAGTCTTATGCATATTTTTCACACACTGCCATGATTCATAAGATTTGAGACATTTGCAATGTTTTCAGTTGAACGTTTCAATAGATATACCTGGTGAAGACTCGTTCCTTTTTCAACCTCGCCTATTTGGAAAGGTATGAGTCATCCTTAAGTTATTTATGATTACTTTTCTATTCCATTTTTCTTCCTTTGGATACTCAGCATATTACTAAGCTGATGGTTTTAATTGATTCGTTTTCATTGGTCATTCAAAAATGCATTTCGACATCGTACGTTTTTTTAGTCAAGGTTGTATTTCGACATCGGGATTTCAATTCTGCAATGAATATTTGTTGAGCAAAATTATTTATTGATTCTATCAGTTTGGTTAATAGATTAATTCTTTGCAGTATTATAAAGCCTGCAAAATCATCATTTGAATAATGCTTTTCAGCTGAAATCGTCAAGTTCAAAATGCTTATCGTAATTATTTTGCATCCATATGAACTGTTGTGCTAGACTCAAATTTTAACGGGTGCTATATAAACGGTTTGAGCCTCTTTCATTTTGTACAGTCATTTAAATGTTTTTTGTATGACACTAGTAATTCATAAGAAGCTATAATTCTGTAGGAGTTTTGGTATATTCTCACGCGCCGTCCTTTAAAGATAAATTGCATATATTATAACCAGGAATTGTTTATCCTTTGCATACCTGTTCACATACATTGTTTTTCTGAATATCCCCTTTCTTGAAACAAGCAAATATAATGACCCACAATCCGCCACAGAAACACCACACTTTTCTTGAGAAATTGCTTTTATTCATAGAATATTATCTTTTTTTCCCGTGGCAAAGTTCACTTTTTTGAGCGTGTTTTCCAATTTAATGGTTACTTTATCAGATTATTCCAGAAAAATGTAAATATTTTGTTTTGCAAACCAAAGTTGAGATCCGTCTTGCAAAAGCTGAAGCTGTCTCATGGCCAACCTTGGAGTACAATAAGGATAAAGCGCTTCTTCAAAAGATTATTGTTCAATCAGGTATTTCCAATTTGTGCTTCATCAGGTATATTATTATTATTAATATTTGTTGTTATCTTTTTCATAGTTTAGAGAATTTTGTGTGCCCGACAATGTTCCATCGATTACATGTTTTTTATGTAAGCATGCAATGTAAAAGCTTAATGATTCTGTTTTTAGGATATAGTCTCTATAACTAGGTACGCATGTTAAGTTAAAATGTTTTGCATATGTATAAACTATGTTGCACATATACTTATAATTAAATAACTGTGCATTGTTGGACACATACACGGATCCGACACATGTTGTACACGATATAAAAGTGTCTGATTTAAATAATAGTAAAAAAAGAGGACAAACAGGACATGCGCGGGACACACACATGACACACATGACAAGTGTTCTAAATTAATGAATTAAAACTTTCTAAAAAATATTTTTATGATTATAATTAAAAATATATATATTTTTATGTAAAATTTAAGAAAAATATAAATACATATCAATCAATTTTATGTATTTACATATCCAACATAAATTTTAATTTTTACATATATGCTACCTTACTTATATATGAAAATGTGTATTCACATTTTTTTACAATTGAAAATAGTGTTATATTTTATGTGATATGAAGGATTTGGGTGGCATAAAAGAAAAATCAAAATTTAGGTGTTACAGATGTAAATACATAAGAATTCGGGGCTAAAGAAGTCTGGGCGTTTTTTTTAATGAATAATTGATTAAGAGGACTTAAATTTTGATATAATATAAAACAATATATGCTTAATTTTATATATTTTGATTATTTTTAAATTCAATTTAATTTATTTTTTAAGATATAAATAAAATAGATAAAAAATATTTTAACTAAAACATGAAGCAAATGTGATATCAAAAGAGCTCTTAGTTTTTAGAAGTTAGTGTTATTATATTTCTTATTTTCTCGTTTGTATTATTCTTAATATTTTGCTCATTTATTTTTTGCATATATTTTAATAATTTTTATTATTATGGTTTATCTGGCGAGTGCTTGTGTCCTATATTTTCAATAATAGACGTGTCTTGTGTCGGTGTTATGTCGTGTCCGTGTCTCTGTGTCCGTGCAGTATCCGTGCAACATAGTTTATAAGGCATTTAATATGAATGAATTAATGCAATGTGTTCAATTTATCTTGAGAGTGAGGGTTAAAACAGTATTCAAAATAAATTGTAGGTTTGAGAAAGAAAGTCTGTTTCAAGGGTACATTGTTGGTAAAAGCAATGGGAAAGCTACATGACTAAAGGTTTTATATAGCTTGAGTGATCAAAACAAGATTGATTTTTTCTTGCAAAATTAGTTGACCAATGCATTTAAAGAAGAGGTTGGAGGGATGGGTTTTATGCTTCTTATTATTATATGCAAAAGAGAGCTATGATCAATGAAATGTTTAAACTAGAAGAGTAAACTAGAGGGTATAGTTTTTGTTCTATGTGAGATGACTCTTTTTCGTTCGTATTTCTTTTTCTCTTAGAGCTCATTTTGGTTCATCTAAGTTAATAATTTGTTTTGAGAATTGTGAATTTATTAAATTCCTTCAATGGCTGGACCTATTTAGCAACTAAATTAGATTCTTAAATCTGCCACCGCTTTCAAAACCACTAAAATTGATGATTTTATTTCACATTTAACATTAGTGAAAACAAATCATTATTTTCTAAAATAAGTAACCAAAAGAGCTCTTAGAAGATTGCTTGTCATTGCTTCCTTCTCCCACGATCTTTCCCCTTTGATTTGATGTGAATTCACCAAAAGACAAAAAAGCTTAACATAATTAGCTTTTGACCCATCAGCGGAAGAGAGAAACGGTAGTTGTAAGGTGGAGGTGATAAACTTCTTTTATTGATTTGTAGTCTCTTATGTAGCATTTTAATGTATCATTTTGTGCTCAAATGCAATCCATGAAGGCAAGCATAGCTATAAGCTGTGAATTTAACTCCAAGATTAAGGATTGCTTGAAAATTGAATCATTTTTCTTATTGGGATCAAGTTCTGATAAGACTCGACTAGCCGCTTAATGAGCCAGGTCTAGCTTGAATCGAACTTGAATCAAGGAGTGTGAAGATCAATTTCAGTCTACTCGATATCGGATTGAAATATGTTTGTAAGCATGACCGCATGTATACATGCACTCATGAATATGCTTATAATTGTATTATTGCATTTCAGAGGTTCAAAAATTTGAATGATGGATGATGCGTGAAGGTATTTTTCTAAGTGGCCATTTGACGTTAAGTAATTTATATTTATAATACTTAAAATATTGTGTAAAATAAATGTAATATATTTGAAATATTTTATAGAAGAATGTGATACGGGAAACAAAGGTAAAAACAAAAATTTGTAGTTTCTAAATTCAAAAAAGAAAAAAATCCTGGACCGAGAATCCCAAAGAGGGGAAATAAAATGCATAAATTGAAATAAAGATGACTGATCACCACTTGGGCACCATTCCAATATATGGACTTCTTCTACTATTCTATTTCTATTATTAACAGTTTAATATTTAAATAATAAATTAAGGAGCCACTAAAAAATAATTAAACTTAACAGGTAAAAATTTTTACCTTTCGGGTTTTTTTTCTCGTTTTCTATACACATTTGATCATCTTTTGCTCATCTTAATAAAAAACTTAAAAACCTGAAGAATGTTAAAACAATATAATGAATTATCTGAATATGATCCAGAAATAATCCTACTTCTAAATTACAGTAATACAAGGGAAAAAAATCAATATTCATATTGGTCTTTTATATCTCTCTAAGAAGTTTTTTATTTATGTTAATATTTTATATGAAATCTTTGAACATACAAATGCATGCATCAATGACCTTTTCTAAATGAAGACACTGTATTTTTATATGTATTAACTTTAACATTACTTTTACTCCATAATATTTACATATAAATCTGTCTTCTTTGAGTACCGCTGTCAAAATAACTCAACACCTTTGGTCGATATCACCCTATCGGTTTCCGTCGGCATGGTGGTTAGCAGTCTACACATCGCAATTGCTTAAGGTGGAAAGACTCTTATCTTCCCCTGGTTGAGATTATCTAATCGGCACAGCGGTTAGTAATATAAACATCATAATTGTATGAGGAGGTAAACTCTAGTCTACTCTCCCCTGGCCGATATTATCTCATCGGCACAACGGTTCCTAATTATCACAATTGTCTGATGCGTTCGAAAAACCTCTACGCACGCGGGTACATTGACGTTTTCTGCCTATACCATAGTGGTGAACTCCTCCACCGAACATGCACATACAAACTTTCATATATAAGCTATTTCATTCTTCAATATCATGCATTCTCTTTTATGAAACATTTACATATATTTGCTGATAAATAATACAAACTTACTATATTCATAAGTCATGAAATCAACCAACCTATCACCAGTTGTGTTTGGAAGTGGGCTAATTTGTTGGAATTGCCCAAATCATTGGTTGGAATGCGTATTGGAGTGTTCCTAGCCAATTTTCGCTGCTTTTGAACCTTCGCTGCCAGGTTTATTACATCTTGTAATGTCCAAAACGGTTAGAGTTAAACTACATTAGCAATAGATGGTCGTAGACCACCCAAAAATCATGCAATAGTATGCTCCTTGGGTTCGGAAAGATTTCACTTTAGCCCCAAATGTTCCCATTCAACAGTATATTACTCCACATATAACTCTTGTTGATGAAAGTTATGAAGTTGGATGAAGATTTCTTGTTGCTAAAGATCAGGTAAGGATTTCCGTTGCACTTCTTTTTTTGTTTTGGTTCACAATGTGATATTGGATCTTTCCTCTCTTTGTCGAAACCTCTTCAAAATTTTCCACCAAAGTGAGGCGTTCTTTAATTTAATCACCACCAATTTTATAAAAGAGTGGTGAGACATGCAATACTTTATGGTGCATAATGTTGGCCTTTAAAAGAGAAGCGTAAAACGTGTTGCTAAGATGAGAATGCTTAGGTGAATGAGTAGCATGACACTTAAAGACAAAATGTGAAACGAATCTATCCGTGAAAGGTTTGTGTAACTCTAGTTGCAAATGAGACTAGAGAATGTCGCCTTAGATGGTTTAGTCACATTAAACGTCAACCATCTGATGATTTAGTTAGGAGTGTAGATGTTTTAGGTTCAACTTATGTTCTGAAAGGTAGAGATAGACCTAAAAAGATTTGGGCTTATTGTATAAAAAATTATCTTAATATATTAGAATTAAATGAAAATTTGACACTCAATAGGACACAATGGAGAAAAAGGATTCATCTAGCCAACCCCACTTAGAAGGCTTGTTGTGTGACCAATTGACAAATTCTTCGGGATCCAAATTTTTTTCAAAATCAGGGAGGTCAATTTTAATTCAAAAATCTGGAGGTTTTTGTTGATTTTCACGCCTCAAGGTACGTAGATGTTGTTCTTCACCATTAGATGCGTCTTCATGGAATGAGTTATCTTCTTACTTGCCAACCACCTCATTTCGGGATTCATATTGACGTTCTTCCAGATATCGCTATTCAAGGAACACCGATCTTATTTGTGGACGACAATTTTCTTGCTAGAATTCTTCCACAACCAAATCTCGGGACGGACATTGCTACTCCTTGGTGACATGATTGAGAGCAGAAAGAACCACAAACAAATGCAGGGACTACTAAATGTTTGAAATTTCCGGAAATTTCTGGACGAGAGTTGGAATCAAGAAGCCCATGATGGAGGACTATCAACATTTCACAGTTGTACAAAGGAAACCCACGGCTCAATGACAAAGAATTCCAACAATAATAGGGAATCTCCGCATAATTCAACAAACCTAGACTGCAAAACCGTGGAAACCTAGACTACAAACCCAGGAAACACAAAACCATAAGGCAGTTCTTGCAACCACCATGTTCAGAAAAATCTCGACAGAAATCCAGAGAATTCGAAAATAAATGGAAAGAAAAAAAGAATAAAATGTTCAAGAACTTGGAGAAGAAAGATAAAAGATGTGCAAGAACCGTGCTCTGATACCAAGATGATAGTGAAAACAAGGTAAAAACAGAAATCCTTATTTTTTAAATTCAGCAAAAGAATGAAACCTGGATCGAGAGTCCCAGAGAAGGGAAATAAAAATGCATAAATTAAAATAAAGATGGCTGATCATCACCTGGAAGGATATTTGAAAGATTCTTACAACCAATCAAAATGCTATTCATCCTCATCCTACACAAAATATCCCCTATTTATAGAGGCTAGACTCTCCTTATTACAAGTATGTCTTCCTAAAACATAGAGACAACAACAAACTGAAACACATATTCCAAGACAAACTAAAATAAAACTTTGCGTTAATTTGGTTCAGTATAAAATAGATGCATGATATCATTTTTTGTGCTTGGTTTTAAGTAAAATAAATTTAGTGTAAGACTCGACGTTGGCGGCATAGGTGGTGGCAAAGTGGTGTCAAGTGGTGGCAATGGCTAACAACGGGATGGTGAGGACCACATGCAGTGGTCAAAGTTTTATGCATGCAAAATATTTGGAATTTAGCCAAATCGTGTGAATTCAAATACATTAAAAATGATCTAAAGGGTAAATTCCATTATATTAACAAATTTGCATTTTTTTTTAATCCATCTAAACAACTAAATTCTAAAAACTCCTACATTCATTTTATTATGCTTCTTCAACAAACAAAACTACCTCTAAAAGAATAGTTCATCTCTACACAAATGCTGATATATAAGTTGGTACTTGTTTGTAGGTTAAGAATAAGAGCATCTTATAAAAGATTGAGATGCAGTCAAAATTGAACTAGTTATGAAATGAGTTGTCCTTGGCTAGAATTTTCTCTAATTGACATTGGAGAAAGCAAACCTATTGTCAAGCCTAGATTTGCTTGATATATAGATTGAATGGTTTAATACCGATCTTTAGCATGATTATATGATCTGCTCTAGTTGTAAGCAGTGATGTCAAATCGGGTTCACTGGTCAGGTTTGGATCCAACCTGAAATTGATCTAAATCGAATTAAAGGAGTTAGAAAGTCCAAGTCGAACACAATACCCCTTCAACCCACTGACCCTAACCGTGTAACCTATTCAGGAGAAGGCATAGTAGCTTTTTGGGTTGATTTCAAGGAGTCAATCTCACATTAATTTCAAGTTAGTGAGTGAATTTCGACTCAATTTCGGGTTAATGGGTTAATTTCTTTTTGGCATGTCAACTTGAACAAAGCCTGAAAAATTAAATGCTTTGAAATTCTTAACCTACATGTCGGGTTAATTTTTGACACCCCTAGTTGTGAGCATTTATAGCACTGCCTAGCCATTTTGATGCTCTTATATTATCAATGCTTATGCCAATTTCACTGACCCGAACTGTGGAACTTGTTTAGAATAAGGCATAATTGCTATTAGGGTCAATTTCGAGGAGTCAATCTCACGTTAATTTCAAGTTGGCGGGTGAATTTCGACTCAATTTTGGGTTAGTGGGTTAATTTCTTGGTTGCAGATAAACGAGAACCAATCTTGAAAAATTCAACAAGTTGAAATTCCTAACCTCAACCCGAACCCTTATTTTTTGAGTCAGGATCGGGTCGAGTTAGCGTGTCGGGTTAATTTTGACACCCTTAGTTGTGAGCATTCAAAGCACTGCCTGGCCATTTTGAGGCTCTTATATTATCAATGCTAGATACCAATTTCAGTGAGTATTTTCTTTTGTTAACCTCAGATTTATTTGAGCAAGTATTTCCTCTTTTTTTTATCATTTTGTTTTCCTGGCATATCTGCCCATCAGAATGCATAAATCTTAATTGTTTTTCTTATGTAGTTTTACTGAAGTTAACAGAATGCATTCACTTAAGTAAGCATTTTAAATGAATTGTCTGTGCTAAATCTTTGACCGTCAGCTTTGTTCAATGTTTGTCCGCACTGTATAGCATAATTCGTTATTCAAAGTACAAGGGATCACATCCAACACGTGGATATCTTTCCAGCCAAGTAGGTGAGCTTGGCAGTCCCAGCTACAATGGACCAGCTTAGCTGACCAACTCACCGAACCTATTCAATTAAGCCCGTTCGACGTGTCAAACTGTGAGGCCAGCCTGTCAGAACAGTTCTCTGAGTCAACTCGGCAAGCTAGGTCATCATGTTGTAGCTCAATGAGTCAATCGACAGTTGAATTCGGCAAACGAGCATATGACCCCATTGATTGCCTAATATTCAGCGGAACTTGGTCGCATAATGAGCTAGATATCCAAATACAATTTTCATTTCCCATGTAAGCCAATTATGTAACATTCCCTAGGGCCGATCCAAATCTATAAATCGGGAGGTGGCTCTCTTTTCAATAGGACTAATTATTTCCTCTCTTCACTCTAATTTTAGTTCTCAAGGTGGTTTGTTCCAGTCGTCTTAATTCCCTTGAATCTCAAACCTTTCTCGTCGTGTGAGGATGCAAACAATTCAGGATCCAACTTGCACTTTTTTCATTAAAACATGCATGTTCTTTTTTTGTTCTATAATAATTCGTAGCAAAATTCTATTGATTTCTTTTAAAAAGTGTGGTCTCTTTTAGTCATTATCTGTGAATGTGACCCAAATCCCAAGCATATGACGCATGCCTTTGAAGTTATATATTTATTTGCACTTTGTGTAGGTAAAAAATGATATTTATGAGCTAGTTTTTCTCGCTGTAAGCTTCATAAATGCAGCTCTTGTGCATGTTGGGCTTGCAATGACTTGTTATAGAATTCAGCTAAAACATTTGATTTGGTTGAAGTGTATGGGGCTCTTTATCTGATATTTTAGTCTAGTTTCATTTTCACATTAATCTTGGAGATACGGTTTATAATGTTTGTTCCTATATTTTATCTTTGGTTTTACAAGGAAGGTGCTAAAGCTCTCAATATCTGGCTTTGAATCTGCAGAAATTAAGAACCAGAAACCTTCCTATCCCTCTTCCAAAAAGAAAGTTGAATGGGATAAGCTTGAAGCTGAGGTTAAAAAGGAGGTATGCATATTAATTGTTCCCATCATTTTTATATATTTATTCTTTTTCCCTTCAAACTCAAATCTGCTTGCCGAGTACTTCCACTGAATAATTTTACATGATCTCTCAGGAGAAGGATGAAAAATTAGATGGCGATGCTGCATTGGGCAAACTTTTCCGTGATATATATCAGAATGCAGATGAAGACATGCGACGAGCAATGAATAAATCTTTTGTAAGATTCTTTTCAAACCACAACTACTCCTAGATTCCATTTTTATGAAATTGAAGCTGGTGCTCAAAATTTTGTGCGAGCTTGAAGTGTTATTTGGTTTCACTCTTTAAGGCAAACACGTTAAATTTATGCAAGCATTTAACTCATTAATTAATCAAGCAGGACATGATCACAAACATAAAATTTACCTGACAATCATTCTTATAAATTAGAAAATATGCATCTGCTGCAATGTGTACATAAATGTATGAATGTGAGCACACAATCTATATAAACTGACTAGAAAATTTGTATATTTATATTAGTGAACAAAACTGGCTACAATCAATTGAAACTAATTTCGTTGCTTTGTGAATATAGACTGAATCAAATGGGACAGTGTTGTCTACAAATTGGAAAGACGTTGGTGCTAAGAAAGTGGATGGAAGCCCACCTGACAGTATGGAGTTTAAGAAGTGGTAGAAAGAATTCGAGAATTATGTGTGTTTGTTAGCCGCCATTTGAAGCCGCTGTGTGATCCCACCTGAAGTCTAGGCCGTGCATTGTTAGTGTGCTTTTTCCTAGTCAGTTTTTGAGAATCTTCAGGGTTTTTTCTATAAAATTTTCTGAAAAACTTGAAAAAATTTGCTCTTTAATTCCATTTGTGCAGATGTCAAGTCGCAGCTTTTGATCATGCTGTTGAAGCTTTAGCTGTGTTTTGCTGTATTTATATGTTTATCTTGTTCTTACAGGATCTTTATCACCCAATAAGAGCTTTGTCTCATCTGTTGCTGTTTGAATTAACTTGAGTTTGTCCAAGATTTTCTTTTCCCTTACAAATTGAGGCAGTTAAAAGAAATTGATTAATCGTGGAAGTTATGTAGTGAAAAAATATTAAAAATTCCTTTTGATTCAAAAATATTTTTTAGTTTGGATTAACATAAGTCTGTATGATTTTTTTTTTTCAAAAAATTAGACCGTTGTTTTTTTAGGAAGTTGCCGCACTTAGCCAGGAGCTTTCAAACAGAACCACAATGAGTCAGCATGACCGTCCTAAACGCAATAGACGCAGCCGTAAACACAACATTGATGTGGGGTAAAATTCAATCAAACAATTCTAATCTATTAATTTTTGAACTACAATTTTTAATTTTAAACGCACCGAGACGGTTGCCGGGTTTGATTGGTCGGTCAAGCGTGACGCTTGCTTTTGTATGTATGTTCAAATTAGTCTTGTTTCAGCCAGTCATCTGTATAGGAAAACTAAAAGCAAACATTCCACTAAGGTGGGCTATTAAATACTACAGAGGGACAGGGTAATATATTTATGTAATTCTTCCGTTATTAGTTTGTACGACGTGTACAATTGATAATGGCGATAAGTGCATGCTGCATGTTCTAATGTTCCCAACAGTTGAGAGAATTGAACAACTCAGTACTATTATATTAATACATTAGCTGAGAGCAGTTTATGAGCAATTATTTATTTATTTATTTAATGATAACCGTATAGGAGATGAATCATGAGGCTTGATTCTATTAGTATGTGGAGTCTAATTGTGTTAGTCAATTGGGCACTCAAAATCGTTCATTTCGGATCAAATTTGATGGTGGAGTTGTTAGGTACCCCCTTGCTACACTCAAAATTTTTCTCTTTTTGTTACTATCAACTAAGAGCTCGAAAGATAGTGTTGCAACGCCCAATCCAAGTTCAGAACCCGAAAGCGCAACACTCCAGTGTCTATAATGAAGCGTTGCAATGCCGAGTGTAGCATCACCACAACGCTCACATTACGGATTAAAATTTTTTTTTTGAAATGCTATGTCCCCTAGATGTATAAAATTACTTTTTCGCTTAGTAAACACTACAATTATGAAAGTGCTATGCAATGTACTCGATATAGGCATTTGTCTTCTCATTTTGGGTAGACCACGGCAATTTGATGAAAGTGTGTGGTATGATGATAGATCTAATGCATATACTGTAGAATCAAAATTTACATAAAATGGGGGAAGACCTCAAAAAATAAAAGTTTAGTCGGCCAAGTCTAAGTCCTTGTGTCATGCCGGCTCTTGTGGCGCCTAAAAACAATGAAAAATGATGGCTATGAATTCATAGCAGAGCTATTAACAAGATCACCGAAATTCGTTTGACCATGCCTCAATTGGAATATCAATTGGAGAAACTATGCGGCTCTCCAAACTATGATTACTAGAATGGTATCCCTCAAAAATTTGTTGATGCTCTTAATATTATCCCTATAATTTTTAGGACTCCAATGTATTTCCTTTTGTTCATATGCTCCACCAATTTATAAAAATAGCACGTAATTCCCCCGTGTTTACGTGTATAATACCAATACTTTTAATTTTTATATAGTATGTGATTTGAAACATCTGATGTTGGATTAATTTTGGGACTACAATGTAATTAATAAATGTGTTGGGTCATCATTAAATAAATCAAAATTATTTTGGTCTAATTTAGAATTAAGTTTATGACTTTGGGCACATTTGTCATGATATTATAGTGTGGATACCATAAGTGCAAATTCTAATTTGATGAGGGGCAGAATTAGAATTAAGCAAAACTTTTTTTGTAACTACCTGGTAGTTACTTTAAAGGGTGATGGTCCCCAATTTGCAGACATATACATCCCTTTCTTGCACCCCATCAACAAGAAAACTAAGGAATATTTGGATAATCTGCAGATTGGAAGATCATATCTTGCGCAATCGATCTAATGGATTCTGGTACGCTTCCGCTAATCTATGGTTTATTTCTCTCGAAATCGAATCTGAATTTTCTTTTTTTTAGTTCTAACAATTGGTATCAGAGCCAATTCACGTTCAGTTTTTCTTGAGAAAATTTTTTTTTCTTTTCGATTCTTTGGCCCTTAGCCATTATTGTTCACCGATTATGAAGTCATAAATTTGCGATTAATGATGGCTTGTATATATTGTTTGGTTTGTTCGTTTTTTGATCTGTTTGATATATTAAATTCGTCGGAATCATTTTTTTTTTTTGTTGTTGTATAAATAAGAGTTAGAAATCATCTAGAAATTAGATTTCTAACATCTTTGGGGTTTGAAGGCTTCTTTTTTGTGTAAAAATAACTTTGAAACCGTTGGGTTTTGATTTGGATTTGAACTGGGTCGTTTGACCCGTCTGGAGGTTGAAGACAACCAGAAACGACATGTCGTTTCTACGGCGTAAGCAAACGACATGTAGTTTTCTGTATTAAAAAAAAAATTATTAAATGTTCAATTAAATTCGAATTATTGGTACTTTATTAATTTGTCCATCATTTTTTAATGAGCTTATTGAAACATGATGTTGCCAAAGTGACCTCTCTTGTGTAGATAGTTCATGAAGAATGTTGGATGTTGTGTGTGTGTGAGTTCATGCGTGTATTGATCGGCCCAAAGGAAAATTAATACTTGGCCGAACTGCATACACACTTGTGATGGTAAACATGTAACAATTATAAGGAATTATATGTGAGTAATAAATCGATCCAAAGATAGATTTATTATTTGACATGCATTATTGCTAATGTTTGATCATTACAACAAGATTACCACTTGCAGTTAATATTACTGTCCAAAGACTTGATATTAATGTTGCATTAGGTGTCTTGAGATGGGATTTATCATTATTTGAATTTTTTTTTATTTTTTTTTTTATTATTTTATGAACATGTTATTTATGTAATCATTTTGTTCATTTTTCAGTTGTTGCTACTGTATCTGCTAATCTCAATTCAGTTCCAATCCTTAAGGGTGACAGCTTTAAGGATTGGAAAGAGAACATTCACATTGTTCTTGGCTGCATGGATTTAGACCTTGCATTAAGAATGGAAAAACCCGCTCCTCTTACGGATGCTAGTTCCTCCGAGGATAGGAGGATCTATGAGAAGTGGGATCGTTCTAATCGCTTGAGTCTTATGATCATCAAGCGCGGCATACCTGAGGCTTTTAGAGGTGCGGTGTCTAGTGAGATCACTGATGCTGCAAGTTTCCTTGCTGAAATAGAGAAACGCTTTGCAAAAAGCGATAAGGCTGAAACTGGTATTCTTTTAAAGAAACTGATTTCAATGAGGTTCAGTGGCAAGGAAAGTATAAGAGAGTACATCGTTGAGATGTCTAACATTGCTTCAAAGCTGAAGTTGCTAAAGCTCGAGTTGCCGGATGATTTACTCGTGCATTTAGTTTTTATTTCTCTTCCTCCACAGTTTGGCCAATTCTTGGTCAGCTATAATATGCAAAAGGAGAAATGGACTCTTAATGAGCTTATTTCACATTGTGTGCAAGAGGAAGAAAGGTTGAAGCATGGAAAGACTGATAATGCTCATTTGGTAAACACCTCTTAAGAAAGAAGCACTAAAAGAAAGAATGAGGCTGCTAAAAATAAGGGTCCTTCTCAAAAGAAACAAAATAAAGTTCAATCTCAAAATCCTGAAAATGGAGGTTGTTTCTTTTGCAATAAGGAAGGACATCAGAAGAAGGAATGTCCAAAATATCACACTTGGCGTGCGAAGAAAGGTACATTTCTATCTTTGGTCTGTTCTGAGGTAAATTTAGCTTCAGTACTAAGAAACACTTGGTGTTTAGACTCTGGTGCTACTACTAATATAAGTGTTTCAATGCAGGGTTGCCTGAGCTACCGAAAACCAAATGATGCTGAAAGATGCATTTATGTAGGAGATGGAAAATCGATAGAAGTGGAAGCAATTGGGCATTTCAGATTGTTATTAAGGACTGGTTACTATTTGGATTTGATAGATACTTTTGTTGTACCGTCATTTAGACGGAATTTGGTTTCTGTTTCTTGTTTGGACAAATTGGGTTATTGTTGTTCATTTCAAAACAGTTGTTTCAGTTTATCTATTGATTCCAATATTATTGGAACTGGTTCGCTTATGGTTTATGACAATCTTTATTTGCTTGATACTGTTGCTTCTTATAATGAAACTCTGAATGTGGAATCTCGTGGTACTAAGCTTAAAATTGAAAATGAAAATTCATGATCATTATGGCACAAGCGTTTAGGTCACATCTCTAGAAATAGAGTTGAAAGACTTGTATCAGATGGAATTCTAAGTTCCATTGATTTTACGGACTTTAATGTTTGTATTGACTGCATTAAAGGAAAACAGACCAAAATAAAGAAATTAGGAGCATATAGAACTACAGGCGTCTTAGAATTGATACATACGGATATTTGTGGGCCGTTTTCTATACCTTCTTGGAATGGTCAACAATACTTTGTATCATTCATAGATGATTATTCAAGATATGCATACCTATTTCTTATTCATGAGAAGTCCCAAGTATTGGATGTGTTCAAATCTTATAAGGCTGAAGTTGAAAACCAACTAAGCAAAATAATAAAGCAAGTCAAATCTGATCGTGGTGGTGAATACTATGGCAGATATGACGGGTCAGGTGAACAACGTCCGGGACCATTTGCCAGATTCCTAGAGGAGTGTGGAATTGTTCCTCAGTACACAATGCCGGGGTCACTTAGCATGAATGGTGTAGCTGAAAGACGAAATCGGACTCTTAAAGACATGGTAAGAAGTATGATCAGTCATTCAACCTTACCAGAATCACTCTAGGGAGAAGCACTTAAGACAGCGGCCTACATTTTAAATAGAGTACCAACTAAAGCAGCTGCAAAAACACCTTATGAGCTTTGGACAAGACGAAAACCTAGTTTAAAGCATTTTCATGTTTGGGGTTGCCCAG